GTGTCATGCAATGGGCTGTGTTGCTGTCAGATGAATTGTACAAACTGGATTAACATCTGGAAAGGAAGTATCGTAAAATGTCAAACAAAACATTCAAACCCCAATATAAATGTACAACCATTAAACAACCAACACTACTAACACAAAAAAGCCTGTTTTTGTTCCATGTTGTTGACATTTTCTTTTTCCAAATCTCCCTTTAAGTAATTAATGTGGTTGTCTTATTTTCTGTTTAGAGTTAGACATAAAACTGTTAAAATAGATGTGCATTAGCACTGGTGTTGAACGTGGGGGATGCCGGAGCGCCCGGAGTGAACCCACACCTACACGGGGAGACATTTCCCCCCGTGCAGTCCTGGCTTTTTAATATTAAAATGTCCAATTAAAAACAACAGAAGCTCTTTTTCCAATTATCTAGGAAAGATATATATATCTTGGCCAGAATGACAAATAGTTTTCAAAACTTTTTCCAGTTTGTACAGGTTTAGACTTCTAAAAGTCGGTTACACGTTGTTTACATTTAAATCTCCCTTTAAATAATTAATGTGGTTGTCTTATTTTCTGTAATATAGATGAGCATGAGCACTGGTGTTGTTGAACGTGGGGGAAGCCGGAGCACCTGGAGTGAACCCACACCTACACGGGGAGACATTTCCCCCCGTGCAGTCCTGGCTTTTTAATTTTAAAATGTCCAATTAAAAACAGCAGAAGCTCCTTTTCCAATTCCTGCCAATCAGCCAACACACATGTGCCCACCTCCTTTTAAATCTCATACACTAGAGACATAACTCAATGTCTACCTTGGATGGACTTTATTTCTGTCTTTGAACCTGCACAGATGGAGTGATGGAGAGAAAGTCTGATTTGTTTCCAAAGAGACATATTTTTCTTCGGTTTTTCTTCTTGCTCACAGATGTCGTTATTCTCAGCTGAGTCTTCTGTAGCTTGAGTCTCTGATTCCTGAGTTGATGTGTGTCTTGCATCTTTGTTTATTGTAACATTTGTCTGTGAAGGGGAAGGTCTCTGGTTTTCTATTAGGTCTCTCTCCCCTTCTGTTGAAACTGCAGAAACAGTACTTGTTACGTCTCCTGTATCTGTACCAGGTTTTTTCTCCATGTGCTCAGAAACTGTCTGGGGGATCTCTGGCACTATATCTAAATCAGGTTTTGGCATTTTACTGTCCCGGATCAAGTTTTTTTCTGTCTCCATTGGGATTACAGCAACTTCCAGTTCAGCTTCTGAAAATATCTGCTGTACTTTAGTGATCACTTCTTTTGTTTGAATCTCATTAGTACTGGAGAATGTCGGATCCTCAACAATTTCTAGTGTAGAAACATCTTCATGTTTGTTGTTTTCTACAGAAATTTCATCTATGTGGAGGGTGTCCAGCTCAGAGGAAGCTGTAGTTGTTGCTTTTTGCTTGTTCTTCTGTTTAGAGTTCTCTGATGGTTTTTGGTCATTTTGTTGGTCCTCGGGTTGTTGGATTGTTAAGTAGGTTTCCTCTTCAGTGATTTGTTGAATTTTGGCTATCACAATTTCAATCATATTACTGTAAGTTTTGATGGTAGCTGTGTGATCAAAATCTGTTTCTAGTGTAGAAACTACTTGATCAGTATTGTCTACAGAAACTTCCTCTTTGTTAAAGGTGCCCAGTTCAGAGGAAGCTTTAGTTACTGCTTTTTGCTTGTTCTTCTGTTTAGATTTCTTTGGCTTTAACTTATAGCTGGTTTCTTATACTACTATCTCTGTCTGTACTGCAGCAGACTGGTAACTTTCCTCTTTCAAGGAAGCGCCTTCTTCACATTCTTGTGAAAGCATTGAAACATTTTGCGTTTCAATGTTCTCAGCACAAAAGCTGACATCTACGCGAGGCTCTGCCTTGGGGAGCATTTTCTAAAATGTCTTCTGACTGCTGCTGGGCAAAGCTGCCTGATGACTTTGTTTTTCCAGCCGAGGATCATTACTGATGTCACTGTTTTCAGTAAAAAACGAAAGATCCATGCAAGCATCTGAGGAGTCTTCCTGATCTCCTTCAGCCAGAGAAGTGTCCTGTTTTGTACCATTTTTATTGACAGTCTTAAATGACTGTTCCTTCTCTGGTGTCAGAATGGTGATTGATTCCTGTTCGCTAACCAGTGAAATGTCTTCCATTCCAGTTTTTTCATCTGACATTTGTAGATCAGCTGGAACGTGTTCTTCCAACCAGGTTTTAACTGGTACCTGATTGGACTCACTCTCAGGTGGCTGCATGTTCCCTTTTTCATCCACTGTCTCCAGTGCGTTGGTGATCGATTCATTTTCAACTGGCATTGAAGAGTCCTGCAGTTCGATATTTTCAGCAGACTTCTTCAGCTCCTCGGCTCTGTGCAGCTCCCACCACACTGCAAATGACAACTTCTTCTTCTTGGGCTTGGGTGGCTGTAATTCCCTTTCCACAACGTTGTCGGATGCGACCTCTTCGTCTCTATATTCCTTTGGTTGATTTAGGTTGTAAACAAAAATCACTTCTCTAGAAACTCTTTCACGTTAAGTTTGATGTGAACTGCGAACTAAACTCTCAAGACAAACGTATCTGTACAAAAGACAGTTAATTATTTGTTTTCAGCTCTCTGGTTTCGTTCTTTATCAAGATGTTTAAATGTAGTATTTTGTTTCAGCCACTAGGTGGCCTCACGTTCGTGTTTGCTGCATGTTGTTTATAGAGCTGAATATTAAGTAGTGTGGCTCAAAACAGGCTTCGCTGTTATTCTTTTCTACCGTGTGCGTCCATTGAATGTAAATATAATGGAAAAATATGATAAAATAATTTATATTGCTATTTTCCCCCTGCCCACTTAATAATAGTATATTTTTAAAAAAGCTTTTTACGAGTGTATATATATATATAATAAGGTAACATCAACAATGTGTCTCCAGTTATAAGGTTGAACTGAAGGGGGGATTGTTTTATGGTTATAATCCCCCACACCCTTCATACCCGCCCCAGCCTCCAGGTTCTGCGTTACGGCCCTGTTTGGTGTCAGCGCAGCACACAGATCTCCTCCTGCCGCTCTACTGCTCAGATGGCTGCACAGATTTGCGACATTTATTTTAATATTAATAATTACAATGACGCTTAGTCGCACAACTTTACGAGCACGTTAATTCGTGTATAAATATACATAAACATGTATATTAGACAAAGCTAATTCTCCATAACATTGTAGGTCAGAATAAATCAGTTTTCACATATTTGTTTTTGTTTTAGCCAGTGTTTTGTCCGGGAATCGAAAACTCTTAAGATCAGTTTCCATTTGTTTCCTGGGGTCTCTGTGTGCAGGTGAGGTTTTCTGAATCAGGTTACTGTGGGACTGACCACCTGTCAGAGCTCAGTGAGGTGGGACGCTCACGGCAGCGAGGGAATTCTGGCTCTTTTTAGAGAACAGGCTCTTTTGTCTCAGATCTCTAAAAAGAGTCGGCTCTTTTGGCTCCAAATCGGCTCATGAATGAGATCAGCTTATAGTAGCAAATATTCAACAGCTCTTCCTCTAGGTCAGCGTGAAGTAAAATGTGCATTTTGAGTTTTAAAATAACATGAGTTTATTACTTGACTTTTGATGGTTATATTTACAGTTTTACCTGCGTAAAATTTATGGAACAGGAGCTTTTAATTACAGGTTTGGTTCCATCAAGTTCCTCAATGACTCCTAAAGCTGTCCTTGAAGATAAAATGTCATGGTTAGTTGAATTGTGGACTGGAATTCTCACCATTTTTGAAGCTCCAATAGGCACATCAGCCAGAGCGGGGAAAAACTCCAACCCGTCTGGCATGATGCTCTGTATAACTGGTTCAAACAACATTACTCCTCCTTCTGGAAAGGTTCTGATGTGACATTTCACTTCACAGATTTGACCACTTTGAACATCAAGACCCTTCTTTCCAACTCTCACTGTTGAACTCTTTGATTCTTTCTGAGATGGCATAGTGCAAATAACAGAGACTAGAGTTTCAACACAACTTTTTTGAATTCTCAAAGCCTCTGACAGTAAGTCCACCAAGTTGATATTTGTTTGGTCAGTGTTTCCCTTTATGATTTCTTGAATCACATTAAAGCCAAGCAAAGGGCTACTTACATGCTCTTGACTTACAAGCAATGGAACATAGAGAGTTTTCTGACTTTTCTTATCCATCTGCTCTGTACTGACACTGACGGTTTTTGGTTTGAAAGACTGATCTAGTCTATTTTGTCTCTGTGTCTTCACCTAATGACTTGGTTATCACTTCTAGGATAAAGTCATCAGTGACCTTTTCATCTGAAAGGTGAGGTTTAAGATCTTGTCGGAGATATGAATATTTTTCATGTATTCCCTGGTAGAGTGAAACCTGTGCTTACTTTAGAAGCAAAAAGCACACGCTGTTTCAACCCCATCAGTCTACACATGAACTGTTGTGGACCTTATTTACCGTGTTGTCTCGCGTTGCTCTGTTCCTGAAATAATTCGGTACTGCTCTTATCTTTAAGATGAGATCTGAGAAAACGCTTCAGCTCAGTTACAGTCAGACTATCTTTTGTAATCAGCAAGTCTTTAAAAGTACCCGGTTTAATTATTCTGAGAACTGTTCTAATAATCTCAGTCTCAGTGAAACCTTCACTCAATCCTTCATCAATTTGCTTACACAAAGAGTCAGAATCTGAAATCTGACCAGCATGAATCCGAAATTCTCTTCGTGGGAGTAATGCAGCAACATCTGTCAGTTTTACTAAGCTGGTTACCTGATTAGCAACAACTGATGATGAGACTGTCTTACTCGACGCTGATGCTGCTACAGGCTGCTCAGTCTCGTACACCGATTCCGCTTCCTCTTCATCCACTAGATGATGCAGGTTCTTTGTTTCTAGGACTGACTGCAGTTCATCAATGAGGTCACGAAACATCAACAGGCGCGACATCCCTTGGTCCTCCAGCCTCCTCAATTGTTTACTTCTTAAAAAGTCAACAATGAAGTCAAAGCGTTTCACCTCGAACGACTCCTCTCCTGGCACGTCTTCTTCCACCTCATCTTGGCACGATTCTGCCAGCTGGTGAAGCAAATCTCTTCTGGCGTCATCAAGCAGTTGGTGAAGAAGCTGCTGAATCTCCCACTGAAGCTCATGTAGCATCGTCATCTCTGGATACCTGAAGTCTTGCTCTTAGGTCATCAGCTCATGGAACATGAAGTCAGGATAACCGCGGTTCTTTGTTGGATAGCACCAAGCCAGCAGGAGGCGCTATCCCGGACAAGCCCCCAAATTTGTTACCCTGCAGCCTTGGGTGGCAGAGTAATGTATTAGAAAAGATCTTCCTCCAATATGTGGTGCTGTGACACAGAAAAGATGAGATACACACATTGAGTTCTCATTAACATCCAACGGAAGATTTATTCCTTTTCTTGTGCAAACATACTCCATATTCAGTACTTTATATCTTTTGTCATTTTAAAAAAATCAAAACAAAAGTACATGAGTTTGTTTTCAACCACTCCAACAACTTTCCTTCTACACAGATAAAATATATGTAGCCCAATTATACCGCTCTACTGTAGGTAAGGGCCCCTGAGTTCAGTAAACTCTTTAAATTACAAATAACTATTACACTCTCGTGTTTAACCTCTGTTGAGTTTCACTCACCTTGGAGTAATGACGCACTAGTACTTTTCTTTCCGTCTCACTAAATAATATAGAATTAAACAGAAATAATACACTCCAAATACAGTTCTATAATAAATCAAACACACACTTGAATTAGAGTTGAACATATATTAAACACACTAACAAATGCACAAAATGCAAATACTTGACTTTTTTTAGTTTCACACCCTATAATAACAAATGTGGGCCCACATTTTAATGTTCAGCTAAAGCCGGCATTAAATAACTAAATGTAGCCCCAACAAACAAACAAAAACCCGTTGCAGGCCTGATGTGTCGATGAAGCTTGAAACTTGGCACCCGCTCCAAATGAGCGGGTGCCAAAGAAGACCCAAAGCCCCTAGGCACCTCACCCGTCCTCAGTTCCAGCCAGCAAGATGTCCGCAGCTCCCCAACCAGTCCGGCAGTCCACAGGATCCAGGAACAACAGAGGAGGCCAACGCAGATCCAGTCCTTCAGTCCCGCCACGAATTCTCAGTATAAACGCCACCCGCTGCTCCAGGCTCAGCTTGGCTAAAGCTTCCACGACGGAAACCTTACTTAAAGTGTCCGTTAGCTGGGTTAGCTTAACGTCCTCAATAGCTATTCACTGTGCTAGTGAACATCGATGCGGCAGCGAGCGTTACACCTACAATACAGTGAGCTCCGGTCTGGAACCGTCACAACCGCGGCAAAACAGAATACAGTGTCCATATACATTCAGCGACTGTCGAACTGAAAGTCTAAACATGCATAAAACACGCGTTCTCTAAACTCTGCCACGTTTCTTTTCGCGCGGTTCATCCCTCTCACTTCCTGTCTCTTTTTTCTCCTCTCCTCTCCTTCCTGACCCTCAGCCAACCATGGACCAGTCAAGTTCTCTACCCCACTTCCTCTTACAAATATGAGCCCTTCAAAATAAAATATTGTGAAGATTACTTTTTTAAAGAACCTATAAGTACAGTTTTCCAGTTAACAGTTATTATTAACAATTTTAACATATTTAAACAAACATGCTTGACACATTCTAAATTATCACTCCTTCTATGAACTTAACTCATTACAAACACCTTGAGTTTGTACTGGGTTACATATACTTTACTATTTAAACATCTTATAACTACTGGAGCCTAGAAAGATGAAGTCTATTGAACCCGTTACAAAATAGCAATATTTTATCCGTTATAAAAAGAAAAACATAACTGAAAAAGGCGGAAGGCTCCTTTAATGGCGTCTCTCGTTACTAACTGACATTAACGGCCCTTAGTTACAATGTCGTTGGTTCTTAACAAGAAAACTCAAATTTACAGAAAAAGAAATGAAAATAGAGGAACTTATCTGAAAATTTCTTCGATCTCCACAACATTCAACAGTTCAACGGAAACTCAACAGTCTTTTAAACGTTTATCTACACAATACTCCTCACAACCCGGACAACATGACTCACTATTCGACTTCCCATTCAATAACATATTCAACTCTCAAAAGTAATCTATATTCATGAATCAATATGCATTTTAACTAACCTGTGACACAGAAAAGATGAGATACACACGTTGACTTTTCATTAACATCCAACGGAAGATTGGATTTTTTCTATGCCACCAATGCAATGCGCCCCTAGTGGTCATGTGGAAAATTGCATGGACTCACTGAAATAACGCTAAATAACTTGTTTCAACAAGAAATTAAAAGATACAAAATAAAAAATTATGTTTGGGGTGTCTATTTTCTTACTTATTGCCTTTATTTTCTAGAAACTTGTTTTTCACCCCTCTACACTTGCTCTACTCATGTTTTACTGATTCAGTTCATTCAGTAAACATTAAGTGCTGAAGTAGCTTCCTCTTTCTTTGTCTTCCTTCTTCTCTCTTGATGAAATGAAAATTCATTAACATGAAGGCAGATTATCATGTCAGTTATACTGACATGATGCAACATGTTTCCACATGCCACTAAAGTAGGGGAATTAGATTTTTTGTTCCGTTTAGTTTGCACAGGCAGAATCATTTCTTTAAGTTTAAGGCCTTTAAGTAACTAAACCTCATAGCTTGATGTTGGTGAAGGTTTTACACCAGCTGAGAACATGAGTGATTACAGGTACTTAAACTGCACAACAAGCCATTGTTTTCAGTCCAGTACTGATGAATATTCTATCTGAAGGTGGACTGTGCTAATTTCACTGATACAGTGACAAAATTAAAACTCAATTCATTAAGTTTACTTTGAAAACACAAAAGAAAAATATGTTCCTGTTTTGTGGGCAGGAGGACAATTTCAGAAAGAAAAAATCTTTTTTTAGACAACCATTTTGAATTCACTGTAAAGATCCTAACTTACCTAATGGCGAATGAGACTTTTGTTTAAAAAATAAAGTACAACGATTAAAGCTGGGAAGTAAAATAAGACATTGAAAAGAGCGTCAACACTTGATATCTTTTTATATGGTATAGGAGTCTTTCTGAAATATTACTCTTTCATTGCTGTTTTTACCAGCCTGATGCTCCAGGACACATAGACTGATCACATCCAGTCAAGACTGTCATGTTTATGAGCTGCCAACCCTGATCTATAATTAAATGTTAACTACATTTTGAAAGGCAAAATTACATCTCATAAATGTCTTATGTTAATAGCATGCACCCACATTATTGTCCAAGTGAGTGTTGCCTCCTCTACCTACTCATAACCCATAATGCTACATACATTGTTAAAACATTTAAATTAAAGTAAAAAACTCGTCATTTTGTTGACATTAGCATGTGCTGCGTATTCGTTCAGCATTCAGGATGGTGATTAACTGTCCTGGTGACTCTGTTATTGGTATCTCTCCACATTCACAACTGTCAATGCAGACTCCTTAGAGATGTTGTAACACAGTTAAATGCTGATTGGTTAAAGGTTATCTTTGCCCAAACGGGATTAAAAAATTTTATCAAAAGGAAGTGTTACCTTAAATAAGGAGGAAGGAAACAGGAGGGAAAGTCCAGGACAGCTTCATGTTACCACAACAAAAATCATCGTCTGACACGTCATCTGTCTTTTAAGACGCAGAACAAAGCTAACGAATCAATGACAAATGAGAACTCTGTCTGAAAATGAAAAAGTTTCCATGACTGCCAAATGATGTCCTGAGACTAAACAGGTCCATCTCATGATTCATGGCTTGTAGAGCCTGCTATGTAGCAGTGGTTTTGGGTGTGACTTTATCAGTATTTTGACCTATTCTTCTTCTTCTGTTGCATATTTTTGGAACAAATTAGATCTACAGATGGTGAGACTCTGACCAAACATGTCCACTGTTGTGTGTCCATAAGATATTATTCCATAAAACTTGTGGTTCATCCACATGCAACTTTGTAAGCTTGAGTAATATTCTTTTTTCTTCTTTTTTTTTTAAACCTATTAAGCAAACTATTAAACAAACTACTAGTTCATGTTTCTTTTGTTTCTGTTTTGTTGAATTTGGCAGACTGGCAACTGTTTTAAATGTTTTCCACTTGGAAGAACTGTTCAAATCATTTGACTGTTTGACTGTATTGATAGTCATGCAAACTTTATTCAGGTTATTTCATGTGTTGAATCTGCCCTCAAGTGGTGTGGTGAAGAAACAGCAGAAACAAATACGGTTTGAAGGGCAGCAACACAGAACAGATGCATACTCAATGGGTTTTACTTTCCCTACAAACCACAGAACAACTTTTACTACCCATATCACAAGACCATTAATAGCTAACAGTTTGTATTTTGTTTGAGGCACTCAGTTCATGTTGTAGATTTCTGGAACAATGTTTGCTGGTTCCACTAATTTCCAACAATAAGGTTAACTGTGTCAACATCCATATGCACAGATAAGCCTCACAAAGAAAATTATTTCTTTTCTCATTTATACAGCAAACAAAGGGCCCAGATCTATGTTCATACTTGTGTTTATTAAGCATCAGGGAGAAAGGTCACAATGATCTGTTAAACATAGTAAATCATGCTTCTATCATTTATAGCCTGACTTTGTGGCTGATTAGCAAAAAGAGTAAAGATGATGTATATTTAAAAAGTTTGTTTATAGAATTGAATTTGTGTAACTTACATTCTGTCAAAACAGTGACCCTGAAGCCAAGTGTTATGTGATGAGTTGCTTAACAAACGAGAGACCTCAGACTGACCCGGGATTCTCCGTCTGTGCTAAAGATCATAACTTATGATTAAGAATCAGTCAGTGAATGTTGCGAACACAAGTCAGAAAATCCAGTTATCTAAATAATGATTCACTTTCTGCTGAGGTAGAATGCTGTTTGGTAAAATAGATAAGACGTAGAAATCAACTAACATTGTTGTCTGTCTGGCGTCCGTTTTCTTAGCAATGCTTCCTGGTCAGATGATGACTGATTAGTTGAAGTAAAGTTATGTGTTAAAGTTTATGGACAGATTAAAACAAACTGAAGTGAGTGGTCATGGAAATACCCTCCAGAGATGGTTTCACCTGAAGTAAGAACAGGAAAAAACATGATATACTTGTGTTTTACCACTCACAAATCAAAGTTTTAATAATTTTTGTAAACAGACAAATAAACCTCACAAAGAAAATGATTTATTTTCTCATTTATATACCAAGCAAAGGGCCCAGATCTACGTTCATAAGCTGATACTTGTGTTTATTAATCATCAGGAAGAAATGTTACAATGATCTATTAACCATAGTAAATTATGGTTCAATCATTTATAGCCTGACTTTGTGACTGATTAGCAAAAAGAGTAGAGGATGTATATTTATAAAGTTTGTTTATAGAATTGAATTTGTGTAACTTACATTCTGTCAGAACAGTGACCCTGAAGCCAAGTGTTATGTGATGAGTTGCTTCACAAACGAGAGACGTCAGACTGACCCGGGATTCTCCGTCTGTGCTAAAGATCATAACTTATGATTCAGAATCAGTCAGTGAATGTTGTGAACACAAGTCAGAAAATCCAGTGGTCTTCTTGATAGCTCCAAAAGCAGAGCAGAAAATATTGAAAGCCTGATATGTAAAGGCTGATTGTGGAATGTTCCACTTCTGATGCTCATTTGTCATTGCTAAGATGGTGAGAAAAGCAAGCGTAATATGAATACATTATATGGGGGTGCTGGTAAATATTTTGTGCACACTTTAACTTAATTGGGAAAGAAAAAGAAATTCAAGCCACCAGTATAAGCCTGAGTTCTTCTAACATTTTATGACAGTCTACAAAGAAAAAACTGTTAAAAAAAAGGGATTAAGTAACAACATACAGTAAATCTTTGTTTTAACAGGAGAAAACATTCAACAGTCTTTTAAAGGCTTTATCATGACAGTGACCACATACAGTTAACATCTTTGTTTAGGAGAAATGCAGGGCTTCACGAAACCCTTAATGTCAATTTATTTTTCTTTTCCTGACACTTACCAGGAAGCTTTGGGCAATTGTTGTATTAAATTACATTGCCAATAAATTAAGAGATATTTTCTTAATGACAACCTCTGCAACCCTTGGGCACATTATGGAAATTTCTTTCCACAGCTGAGAGGCATAGTTTCCTGTTTCAACGAATCCTGAACAACATTCCAGTACAATGATTATCCCAGCAAATCATTTCACAATACAAACAAGGTCTATGAGTCTGTACACTCCACAGTTTTCTAACACTGTTTTCAAATAAAGTGCTGTCATAAAGACATTTGACCTGAGCTGACTCTGATGTTGCTGCAGTTCAGTAAGTTTTAAGATCTTCTCACCTCCATCACAATCTGGTTCACTGACAAGATGAGCGTGGGTCATAGTTTGGCTCAAATCCAGGTGTGTTTAATCATTTCTCTAAATGTAGACATGGGCAAGATCAGGCTTTATTTGTGTTGAACTTGCTTAAATTTGTTATGTTTTTCGTAACAAATAGGCCTCTGTGTCATTTAATTTAATCTGT